TGAGTATGGCGGGCCGAACTGGGCCGGGCCTCCAGCGCACAGGGCCGCAGGAACCCCCCGGAGAGCGGCACGTGCAGGCCTTGCCCCGCGAGCGGTGGGGGCGCGTGCTGGTCTCTGCTGGTGGGGGGCGCTCGCGCCGCCTGCGTCATCGCCGCCCCCGCCCCCGGTTGCTCGGGGAAGCGGGACGCGGGCGGGGAGAGCGCCGCAGCCGGGCGGGGCCTCGAGGGCCGCCTCTGGCTCCCTCCGGCTCTCCCCCTGCTCCGGGGGTCGGGCTGGGGCTGGTCCTGCTGGAGGAGGAGGAAAGGCTGCGGAAGGAGCAGGTGCGCCCGCCCGGCTCGTTGGGAGGTCACCTGAGCGGGGCAGGGAGTCTGCCTGGGAGCCAGAGAGACAGGAGCTCTGGCAGGGGGGGAAGAAGGCAGGGCTGGGTGAGCGCTAGCCTGGAGGGGCAGGCCTTGCAGGAGGTGGGCCTGGGAGCAGGGGTGGGTGAGCCTGTAGCCTGGAGAGGGGCAGAGCCCAAGCCCAGAGGGAGCAGGGTGTCAGTGGGTCGAGGCAGCACAGAGGTCTGTAGCCCAGGAAGGGCACTCGTCAGCAGGGCCTGGGAGCCCAAAGGTCTCCACTGGCCTAGGAGCAGGGCTGAGGTCTAGCGACTGCAAGTCAGGTCCTCAGCCGGAGACTGAAGGTGCTAAGCAGCTTGTAGCCCAGGAGGGACAAGGACTAGGGCTGGGAGTCCATGACCCAGGAGGCATGTGTGTTAGCACTTGAGGTGCACCCATGTATCGGTCCCATATCGTATTGGCACCAATATAAGGAAAATTGACCTAATCAGCTTTTTTTGGCTCCTATAGTTGATAAAAGCTTGTGTGGGCACAGCCACAGGACAGCACGTGAGTGGCCAGGAGCACAGCCCAGCAGCTTGGAGAGCAGCATCCGGCTGGTAAGTCTGTTGTTGGGGAAGGGACAGAGGCACAGACTGAGGCCTCTGCGGTGAGGGAGGGAGTGGGGCTGGGGGTAGGACAGGTGCTGGACAGTCGGGGTGAGGCATGCAATATAGCCACGAGTGGCTCATGGGGGGGCAGCTCTTGCTGCTGCACATACCCTAGGAGGGCATCAGGGGTGTATGTACCTAGATCTGTGCGCAGGGTGAGGATGGGCTGGGGCTGTACCAGGCTGTTTGGGGGGGCGCTGCATGCAGGGCCTGCAGTGGCGGTGCTATGAAGGGGCTATGGTGGGGAGGCTACAATCACCTCAAAATTCATCATAGCCCTTGCTCTCAGCACGGCTGTTACCTGCCTTGAGCAGGGCCCCAGCTTAGGCCTCCTACCGGGAAGAACCTGATGCAGCCCTGGCTTCAGCCCTCAGTGGCAGCCTGTGCTCACCCTGCATGTAGATCTTGAGGGAGCACACATGCCTCATGCCCTCCTGGGGTACATGTAGTGGCAAGAGCTGCCTCCCCTTTCCTGCAAGCTGCAGCTCCGTCCTGCCCTGGCTGAGCAGAGCCTGTCCCAGCCCCACTCCCTCTCTCACTGTGAGGGCTTAGACCTGCCCCCCGCCACATCCCTTCCCTCCCCCCTTGTCCCTTCCACCACAACAGCTTTACCAGCCAGATGCTGCTCTTCAAGATGCCGGCCACATATCAGCAGTCAGATCGGTGTTGGTCAATATGGCTCATTAAAAATTGGCCATCGGTATCATCCCCAGAAAGCTCTATTTGTGCACCCCTAGTTAGCACGTTGCCTGTGTGGCATGGGAGTGGGTGTTAGGGAGGATGCAGCCCATGTAATTGCTCCTTGAGGCAATGGCCATGGACACCTGTGGTCATAAGCAAGACCAGGTTTGGGAAGCCTTGGGGCAGCCTCCCTTTTCTTCAGAGATAATAACATCAATGCCTGATGGGCAAGGGAAGGGGAGATTGTCCAAGGCGAGCTACAGTTTGGCAAGGGCTGGCTGAGTGGACAGCAGGAGGCATCACAGAAACCCCTGGGTTGAGCACTTGTTACAGGCGGTTCCTGGCTAGAGGGTCTTGCCCCCTCTGCTCAGGGTTAGACCCATCACCATATTTGGGGTCAGGAAAGAATTTTACCCCATGGTCATGTGGGTACTGACTGTTTGGGGGTTTTGTCTTTCTCTCTAGCAGGGATGCCCTATACCTAGTAGCTCTTGAGCCATAGAGCATATATAGACATTTCATAGCAGCAGGACATTGGCTTTTGTTGTCCCCCTATAGTTTCCCGGGTCCTCCTTCCTCCCTTTTTTGAAGATGGGAACCACATTGGCCCTCTTTCAGTCCTCTGGTAAGGCGCTGACCTTCGGTAAGTGTTCCACGCCAGCCTCGGTGCCTTCAGCACACTCCGTGCCCAGCTCCTCTGGGCGGGTGTTAAAAAGTTTGTGCACGGCAAGATTTTTGCCTGTGGCAGGTTAGGGGATTAGGTCTGTATTGTGTGAGGGTTGATGGCAGTTTTACATGGTTTAGATTTTGGTTTGTATGGGATGGTTTGGATAGGGATGATCCTGCCTCAGGCAGGGGGTTGGACTAGATGACCTCTGGAGGTCCCTTCTAGCCCTACTTCTCTATGATTCTCCTACTCCTTCAGAAATCACCTGCAGTGGCTTTCTCTGTCTTACCCCATGCCATTTGCATTGCTCTCTGTGCCAAAAACTCAGTAGGAGCAGCACCAGCCTGGGTGACACTGAGTAGCTACGACGTGTCCATCACATGGTATCTGGGCACCCCACAAAGAAATACCTTCTAGCATCCTGATTTGCCGTGAGCATTGGTAGTGCACATGCATGCTCTCTGCAGGCCAGCTAAAATCAGTTGGAAGAGTTGCAATTTGTGCAACTGAAAATCAGTTGCAATTTGTGCTTTGATGAGCATTTCAGGGAAATGGGTGGGTGGGTGAGGCTGTTACAAAAAGGACAGCGATTCCTTTTGTGCTTCTGATATTCTGCCTGCTCTATAGTTTTTAAAGCATGTTGAGAAAAATCAGATGCTTTAAGATGTCTCTCATCTACATAGCAGCAACCATTTTGTGGCCATGTTGTAGCATTTAACTCCTCCTAGAAATTTGGCTCTGTTTTGATTCTCTTAAACAGGGCTGCCCAAGTCCTAAGTGGCTGGGGGGCTGCATGTCCCACAGGCTGCACCAGCAGGCACCACCTGGATGCTCCCCCGCTACACTACACACCCACACCTCCCAACTCTACTGCAGTGTGTGCCCACACAGACATACCCCCCACGACTGGAATAACCCCACATGGATGCTCCTTGCACCATTGCAGTGCACACCTGTGTAGGTGCTCACCTCTACCACTGCTGTGCCATACCTCCTCCTAGGGCCAGTGCAGAACACAGAAGCTGGAGGATGGAGGGGGAGCCCAAGACTTGGGTTGCTGTTGCAGCCACGGGAATAGGGGAAGTGGTGGCTGAAAAGTAGTTTAGGGGGTGCTCCTTAACCTGTCATAGGCCACCAGTTGGGCACCCCTGCTCTAAAACATGGTTCTGGTGAAGCTGGTTTCTTGTAGCATGGAAAATGTTGCTACCAAATTGTTAGTTCTTTGGTAGTGATTTGCTGCAGGGTATAACTTCATTCAGACTAGGATTTATATATGAAGGTGTGGGATAATGTTTTTCATTTCTGATGTTCAGGCTCTAAACATGAGGCATTCAAATAGTTCCATCAAATATCAACCAGGAGTCAGCCTTTCAGGTGCCATCCTGCCCTAACTTGCTAAGAAAGACTTAAGACAGTGGTTCCTGGCCTTTTTAGACTTGAGGCACCCCTTAGAAAATGCCAGTTCTTGGGGGGGGTTTAAACTAAAGAAGAATTGCTTTATTATTGTTCTGTTGTGAAGAACTCAGAAAGACTAGCACAGGGCTGAACGTTTTTAATGTTATGGATTTTTCTTTGAAATCTGTGGGTTTATCATGTGCATCACGTTTGCACGCCTACCAGTGCTAACGTTGTGTGGCATTCTTGAAAGGATCTCAAGGCACTTCAGGGTACTGTGGCACCCTGGTTTAGAATCACTGTCATACACTTTTGTGGGTGAAAGCCTACTTCAGCAGATACTTTATACCTCGCCTTGTTCTAATGTCGTTTGATATAACAGTAATATATGCTTTCGTGAAGTAGGCTTTTGCCTACAAAAGCTTATGTATTTCTGAATGAGTTAGCATTTGAGGTGCCACCCTACCCTGCCTTCTGCCTGATTTCAGACTAATGTGGGTAACTAACTCTCTGTTAAATATCAAGTGTCTGTGTTTATAATAACAATGCTGCTCAGCAGGAGAAATGTCTTAATGAACAGAAAAAACAAATAGCCAAATCTGATAGAGGTCTTCCTCAGGCCCCTGGCAACCATTACATGCAGGGCATGATTAACTTACTAATCATATGTTAAACAAAGTTCCCCCTAAGGAGTAGCAGTCCGTGAGTGTGCTGCTTTGGTCCTGTCTCCCCCTTTTGGTGCAGTTCCCTGGTAAGTGTCCCTAAGGGGAGTGAAATTGTATTAACAGTGCTGCTGTTCCCCTGCCGTCAAATTTCCAGACCTTTAGGGAGCCTGCAGACCAGGTGACCCAGCTCTGTTGCCTGGAGGTTGAGCGCCATTGAATTAGGGTAAGACAAGAGCATAAGACAGGCATGTGAAACGTGGTCTGGAGCCAAATCATCAATAGCTCTGCTCTCATTAAAAGTATATCTCATCACTTAAAGTATTTGCTGATCCCATTTGTGTTCATGGTTTTCCCTTCACTTTGAATGTCCAGATTAATGCCATTTAAGTGTGGATATCAGACTGGGGAGAAAAAAATCAGCTGATCATTTATGATTACTGAGTTTTTATCTTGTTCACCTCTGTATTCTTAAATGGCATATATTTCTAGGAGGAAATATTGGTATCTTGTCAGTACTTCCCCTCTGCTGAGCTCTTGTGTTGAAGTTTAGACAACCACAGTGTGCATCAGCGCGCGCGTGCATGTGCACACACACATGTACGTACAGATGGGGGCTGGCGCGGGCTCCGCTGGCTCTGGGGGACTGCTCTGCTCCCCAGCCCTGACACTGTGTGCCTCCTCCCACCCTGAGGGGATGTGGGGGTGTGGAGCAGTTCCCTGGAGCCTGTGCCAGCCCCAGCCCCTGTCCCACCTCAGGGAGGAGTAGCTGCCTGCCCTGAAGTTTCATAGTTTCATAGTTAGTAGGGTTGGAAGGGACCTGAGCAGATCATCAAGTCTGACCCCCTGCCATGGCAGGAAAGAGTACTGGGGTCAAACAACCCCAGCAAGGTGATTGTCTAGCCTTGTCTTAAAGACCCCCAAGGTAGG